TAATTACCAACTGGGGCAGGTGTTTGAGGCCAGGCCACTGTACTCATTTAAAATCTGTTTAGTGAGAAGTAGACCCTGAAATTTACTTGCCCCAAAAATCCAAAATGTATGCATTGATTCCATCAGTGTTTCATCGATGTGGGGGAAGTCAAAATGGCCAGCATCCAGGTCATCAGTCAACAACAACTCGCATTTATATAGCGCCCTTCACGCGGGGTAGTGTCCCAGAGCCCTTCAGTGACCTAATGGCCCAGACATTGACCATTTTGTCTTCCTGTGTGCTGGGTGGCATCTTGCTTTTCTGCAATGAATGCAGAACCCCCAATCAGTGATCGTAACCTGTTATTGTGCTGGTTGGGATTTTATGGAACTGAACCACTGTGTTATGACAGAGCTCCATAATATAGCTTTGACATATTGCTGTACAAAATCTTGGGCAAAACACATACCAGTCTCATTTGTGATGATTTTTAACTCAGATTGATTTCCCTCTAAGGCGAACAATGTAAAATGTTGAGTTGGCCTCCACCTGACTAATGTTTCATCTTTGTACTTTTGTATTGACTTAAGCCACTGTGCTCACTCCTCTTATTAGGAGATTGTGTTCCACTGCTTGGGAAAACTCTCCAGACCTCAGACAATTGAAGATTCAATGTTTTTTTTTCTTGTTGCTAATATCAAGGTCTTTCTGGCAATAATTTCTTGCTCCCTCTGTACCCATGTTTTAATTGGTCACAGTTGCCATTTTCTGGACATCTCTGCTAATGGTATTTCTGTAGGGTGACTGTTAAGATATATGCCTACATTTGTAATGTATTTTAAGTATACTTATTGTTAATGTCCTACGATTAGTTAGATGGCTCAATTTTACACCAGCATCTGAATAAGAACATTAGTTAAAAATAATAATTTATTAATTCAGCCGTGACTGAATGGACTAATGTCTGGTTTTCCCCAAGTTGCTTCATGCCTGTGAGTTTCGACTCAAATCCTAAAACATTAGCAGTTACCAATTGCCAATTTCGCACTTACTTCTTTAATTGATACAGTTTAGTTGGCAGCACCAGTACAATGCAGTAGCACTGTAGCTCAGTGGTTAGAGCATTTGCCTTGCAAGCGAGAGATTCCCAGCAGGGCGAAACATTGGGCAAGTTTTCTTACTCCACGCGCCTCTATTTTCCTATTTAGCAGTAAATAGGAACCCGGTTGTTAGTTGCAATTGGCTACTGTGTTTCGCCCACAAAATGTACAGTCAATTCACTATAAGAGTATAATCTGTGAAGCGTTTTGAGACGTTTCAAAGACGTGATAAGGCGCTATATCAAATGCAAGGATTATTATTATTATAATATTGTCAGAGATGCCGCCCTTTAGATGAAGTGTTAAACCATCTGCCCATTCAGGTGGATGTTAAAGATGCCATGGCATTACTCAAATAGGAAAAGGTGTTTCTCACACTGTCCTGACCAGGAAAACTCCCAAATAAAATTGGCCAATCACTTCTTGGCTCTTTGTGGGCCATTGCTCCGCTTACAAATATGCAATCATGACATTTTACAGTAAATCCCATGAAGCATTTTGAAATGTTTTAACAACATGATAAGACACTATATCAAACGCAAGGATTATTATTATTCACAGTAATTAATCCTCAAACCCATTTGATTATATGTGACCTGAATCTTTATTTTCTGCCACTCTTTTCTATGTGAACAACAATTCAAATATTTAAACCATTAAATATATTTGCATATGATTTAAGCATCTTCTGAAATTGATTCCTATCAGTCCTGAAGTTTATCACAATTAATTTCCACTCAGATGCCCTGTTTTAATGCATATTAAACATAACTACGTCCATTTGAAAAAAAAAACTGAGTATAGGGCATTCATGTTGCATTAGTAAAGAAAACCCAAATTACACAGCAAAATAAATTGGGTAAGAAAGCACTTCATTGAATCATTATTTTGTTATTGTTTTTTAGAACATCGCATGGCAGATGTGGTCATTTCTTTCACGTCTGGAAGGTGAGAGACAATATACAATGTGACTGTGGGCACCAGTCGCAACCTGGACCACATTGTAAATTAGTGCCTGTTTTGATCATTTCCTAGTGGCATCTTACACCAAGACACTTCCAAAGCTATCTCCCCGCTCACCAATCTGGACATGGTTCTTTCTCCATGTTGTTAGTCACCTCGCTTGACATACAAAAGAAGAATTTGCCCACAAAATATACAGTCAATTCAGTTTCCAATATATCCTTAAAGTATGAAGCACTTTGAGACATCTCAATGACGTGATAAGGCACAATATCAAATGCCAGGATTCTTCTTATTATTATTAAGATTGGTTTTCCTTATATTCCTTTGGAAAATAACTGACCAAATAGAGAAAAGTTTGTACTGAGGAATAGATTCTCATTGCATTCAAGTAATAATATTTTTTAAGTACATAAATATTTTCATCCCAATATTCTATAATTGAAATAAATTGGATCAACTTCCTCAAAAACTCTTGTAAACCTGTTGTCTGTTGGGGCACATTTGCTTTGTTGTATTGGTTACGGAGGAATTTCCATCATGTGACTTATGACTTTTTAATTTTTTGAGGCTTTAAAACTAAATTAACCTAATCCAGATACAGTGTGTATTGAATTTATTCCACGATTGATTGTACAAAATTGGCTTCCAAGCATGGTTAAAATATTTTATTTACCAGATAACTTTATTATTATATATTATTATACATAATAATTATTATTGTTATTATTTATAACAACCTTTAAAAGAGGGAAGTATTGTATATCTTAGAACTTACTTAGCTGGTAAGTTCTATCTCGGGGATGTTACTTTAAAGACCTTCCTCTTCCACCTCGCCTTCGGTCACCCTCCCTACCCTCCACCCTTCCTGATCCCAACCCCCAGTCCTCCCGAGGTGAAAGGCGCTGTACAAATGTAATCTCTTGCTGTTGTTTCTTAGGAGTAAAATTCCACCTGAGTTTTGGTTAGTGATTCTCAAACAAATGTTTTTGATGGCCTCAGTGCGCAGCCACCAACACTCACTTGGTGTCCCAGTGCGACTGTTTGGCATCTGCGTTAATCCTCCCATCTCGTGCCAGTCGCTGCGTGGGAGAAAAAGAGAGGGCCAGCGAGAGCACGTGCATTACTGACCGGCCTCCCAACCAGCCTTACTGTGCTCCCTGGGAACGGTAGTGTGGCCGCCCCCTCTGCAGCAGTGGGCCCAACGCACACTTGGAACTACAAACACCAGCATGCGCTGCATTCCACACATGCAGACGAGGGTACATCTCTACCCCCCCCACCCCCACCCGGGGCTGAGGTCGGCTGCTGTGGCCATACATGGGTCAGCCTTGCGTAGTGGTAGCACTCTGGTCTCTGAATCTGAAGGCTGTGGGTAGAAGAATATCAACAACAGCTTGCATTTATATAGTGCCTTCACACGGGGTAGCGTCTCAGAGCGCTACAAGCTCCACCCCGGGACTTGGAGTCACACAGTCTAAGATGACACTCCTATGCAGTGTTGTAAGGAATGCTGTATGGTCAGAGGCATCGTCCTTCGGATGAGATGTTAAACTGAGGTCCCGTCTGCCTATTCAGGTGGATGTTCAAGATCCCATGGCATGATTTGAAAAGACAGGGGAGTTTCTCTCTCCCGGTGTCCTGGCCAACTATCCCCCAAATAAAATTGGTCACTCAATTCATGGCTGTTTGTGGGACAATTGGATACCGCATTTCAATCACAAAATACCCAGACAAAACCCCTTTACAGTGTATCCCATAAAGCGCAACATGAAAGGCGCTATATCAAACACAATGATTCTTCTTATTCTTCTTATTAAAATCACGCAGGTGGCTGCGTTTGAGAAACGTTGGTCTACATGAACATAAAATGTAAGTTTCCGAGTGCAAAGAGTGCGGCAAATTTTAAATGCAGTCTTTAATTTTTGAAAACAGTTTTCCGTAAATTATTTTTAAGAACTGCAGAAAATGGGCTTCAGAGTTAAAACTGCAGTCAACATTTGCCACATTCTGGATGCTCAGAGATATTACGTTACTAGAGTAAATCTCTAATAATAGAGTAAATGTGCAATCTCTAGCCCCAGATGGAATTTTATCCCAAACATTAGCCTGACAGTATGACTGATGGTTCTCGCTGTTCTGTTCCCACAAACAAGAACAGATTTTGGAAAGGCTCTTTTTGTGAGGGCAGTGGTCCTTTAAGTTAAGGTGTGTCGCTAAGTCCAGCTGAACATATATGTCTTAGAACACGCAATAGCGACCGAGAATCCTACTTCAAAATACATGTAGATCTTTGGAATTTTTGAGTGCAGGATTACAAACATATGTTACTGCATTTTAATCCTAAACTTCCCAAATCTGGTTTATGCTCCAAGGGATGGGGGAGGGGAGGGGTCTATGTGTGTCTTGAAATATCCATTTTGTGGGACACTGCTGTGCGCAATTGGCTACTGGGTTTCGCCCACAAAATATACCACATCAATTCACTTGACAGCATATTCTGTTGCGCTTTTAGACGTCTCGAAGCGTTGCATCAAGTCAAATGCGAGGATTATTATTATTATTATGATGATGTTTATGTATGTTCCATTGATCAGGGCGGTCAGTGTCACTGTCAACATCTATCCATTTTGAAGGTCAGATACCAACAGCGGTAAGAGAAGTCCTATCAAAAATTCTCAACATCAGGGGGGTAACGAAGTGGAAACGCATCAATGCGGCATGAAGTAAAAAGGCGGCTGGCGTTTCAGTGCTGGAGAGGAAATGTGCAATGTGACAGCAAGCGTTGCAACCCTCCCAACATGCATTAAGTATAGCAAGCTGTGTTCAGTAGTAGCCTGATCTGAGGCACCGGCAACATGTCAGTGATTGTTTAACGTGGTTTGTGTTTGGGATCGTGCTGTGTGTGTGTGTGCTGTGTGTGTGTGTGTGTGTTATGTTTACAGCTCCCTTCTTACCTGCAAAATTTTTGGTGAACACCAAGGTGACGAGGAGAATGGGGATAATGACAGTGCCGATGGAAACTACTCTGTCGAAAGGCAGCTCCAGTTTGAGTTGGACCATGAAGGCTGAGAGGGGAGCCCATTTGTCATCTTGCTGCCCGGGAAGGATCAGTTCTTTCAGCTTCTCTCCAGCTAACAGCGCTGTAGCCATGTCTGGATGGTGATCTATGATGAGGTTTTGCATTCGTCACCCTGATGTAGGTTGTCGTGATCTGTGTAATCGGTTCGGGATGGATCTTCCTGGCTCGAAAGCGACCGAATCCCCAACGATAGCCTTTCTGTGCACGCATTTACATTTGGGTTGGGTGGGAGGGGAAGGGGAGGGGAATGGGAAAGCACAATGTTCATACAGTGCAGGTTGCTACAGACATAGAAGCTAAAGAGAACAATTAACAGCACCAACTTGTCCCACAACCCACAACACTGGGGAGGCTGGAAGCTCTTCAGACTGACTCCACTGCACCACAACACAACACAGCACAGCACAGCATCACCGAATCGCAGGTTGATCAAGTATAACATTAAATTCGGCCTTGGCCCCAGATTGTTTGTCGAGGTATTAAATCAGATCTGAGTATCGAAGCATTGATCGTTTAAGAGCGCAAAACAGATTGAGGGTGAAAGTGGGAGTGGATGGGGACCAAAGCCAATTGGGTGAACCTACTCTTTGTATAGTAACATACTGTGCGCGAATGAAAGGATATTATACATACATTTTAAATTTAACATACAAACAACACCCCCTCCCACACACACCCCACACCACACACACTAACCCCCCCCCCACACACACTCACCCCCCCACACACACTCACACCCCCCCACACACACTCACACACACTCACCCCCCCCACACACACACTCACCCCCCCCACACACACACTCACCCCCCCACACACACACTCACCCCCTCCCACACACACACTCCCCCCCACACACACTAACACCCCCCCACACACACTCACCCCCCCACACACACTCACCCCCCCCACACACACTCACCCCCCCACACACACACTCACCCCCCCACACACACACTAACACCCCCACACACACACTCACCCTCCCCACACACACTCACCCCCCCACACACACACTCACCCCCTCCCACACACACAATCCCCCCCACACACACACTCCCCCCCCACACACACACTCCCCCACACACACACTCACCCTCCCCACACACACTCACCCCCCCACACACACTCACCCCCCCACACACACACTCACCCCCCCACACACACTCACCCCCCCACACACACCTCCACCCCCCCACACACACACTCACCCCCCACACACACTCCCCCCACACACACACACACACTCCCCACACACACTCCCCCCACACACACACCCCCCCCACACACACACTCCCCCCCCCACACACACACACCCCACACACTCCCCCCCACATACACACTCCCCCACACATACACACTCACCCCCCCCCCAACCCACACCCCCCCCCCACACACACACTCACCCCCCCACCCACACCCCCCCACACACACACACACTCCCCCCCCCACACACACTCCCCCCCCCACACACACACACTCCCCCCCCCACACACACACTCCCCTCCCACACACACACACACCCCACACACTCCCCCCCCACCCACACCCCCCCCCACACACACACACTCCCCCCCCCACACACACTCCCCCCCCCACACACACACTCCCCCCACACACACACACACCGCACACACTCCCCCCCACACACACACACTCCCCCCCCACACACACACACTCCCCCCCCACACACACACACACTCCCCCCCCCCACACACACACTCCCCCCACACACACACACACCGACACACTGCCCCCCACACACACACACTCCCCCCCACACACACACACTCCCCCCCCCACACACACACACACCCACACACTCCCCCCCACACACACACACACTCCCCCCCCACACACACACACTCCCCCCCCCCACACACACACACACCCACACACTCCCCCCCACACACACACACTCCCCCCCACACACACACACTCCCCCCCCCCACACACACACTCCCCCCCCCCACACACACACTCCCCCACACACACCACTCCCCCCCCCCCACACACACACTCCCCCCCCCCACACACACACTCCCCCACACACACACTCCCCCCCCCCACACACACACTCCCCCCCCCCACACACACACACTCCCCCCCCACACACACACTCCCCCCCCCCACACACACACTCCCCCCCCCCACACACACTCCCCCCCCCACACACACACTCCCCCCCCACACACACACTCCCCCCACACACACACTCCCCACACACACACTCCCCCCCCCACACACACACTCCCCCACACACACACTCCCCCCCCCCCACACACACACTCCCCCCACACACACACTCCCCCCCCCCGCACACACACACTCCCCACACACACACACACACTCCCCCCCCACACACACACACTCCCCCCCACACACACACACTCCCCCCCCCACACACACACACTCCCCCACACACACACACACACACTCCCCCCCACACACACACACCCCACACACTCCCCCCCCCACACACACTCCCCCCCCACACACACACACTCCCCCCCCACACACACACACTCCCCCCCCACACACACACTCACCCACACCCTCTACAAAGAATGAAAGGATGTTACGTGTCATACATACATACATTTCAAGTTTAAAAATGCAACACCGACCCCCCCCCCTCCCCCCACCGACCTCCCCTCCCCCCCACTGCCTCCCCCCCCACTGACACCCTCTCCCCCCAATGCACCCCCTCCCCCCCACTGACCCCCTCCCCCCACTGCACCCCCTCCCCCCACTGACCCCCTCCCCCCACTGCACCCCCTCCCCCCCACTGCACCCCCTCCCCCCCACTGCACCCCTCCCCCCCACTGCCCCCCCCCCCCCACTGCCCCCCTCCCCACTGACCCCCTCCCGCCCACTGCCCCCCCCGCCCACTGCCCCCCCTCCCCCCCACTGCCCCCCCCCCACTGCCCCCCCCCACTGCCCCCCCCACTGCCCCCCCCCCACTGCCCCCTCCCCCCACTGCCCCCCTCCCCCCACTGCACCCCTCCCCCCACTGCACCCCCTCCCCCCCACTGCCCCCCCCCACTGCACCCCCTCCCCCCCACTGCCCCCCCCCCCCCCCACTGCCCCCCCCCCCTGAATGTAAGCAGCTGTTCGCTTACTCAGTCTGTTTTAAGGCGAAATATGTTCAGATCAGATGCTGCAAATCTTCAGAGGTGACATCCCAGTAAGTGGGTTAATTCCCGGCGTTCGTGTCGATGTCACAATGAGAAAGATAAGCCTTTGGAGTTTACCATCGCCCGAGAAGACAGGTACAGTATTACGGTATATATATATATTGTATATACATATATATATATATATTTAGAAACCTCTTTCTTGCAATCGCCCTGGTTTGTCTCTGCAGATGACAACTTTCCAACAAGTCGATTAGGATTCAGGGGGTGAATCTCTGCAGAGATGGAGCTGAGGTTGGCAGAGGCAGAGGCACAGGGGCAGAGGCACAGGGGCACAGGGGCAGGGGCACAGGGGCACAGGGGCAGGGGCACAGGGGCAGAGGGGCAGGGGCACAGGGGCACAGGGGCAGGGGCACAGGGGCACAGGGGCAGGGGCACAGGGGCAGAGGGGCAGGGGCAGGGGCACAGGGGCAGGGGCACAGGGGCAGAGGGGCAGGGGCAGGGGCACAGGGGCAGGGGCACAGGGGCAGGGGCACAGGGGCAGAGGGTCAGGGCACAGGGGCACAGGGGCAGGGGCACAGGGGCAGGGGCACAGGGGCAGGGGCACAGGGGCAGAGGGTCAGGGGCACAGGGGCACAGGGGCAGGGGCACAGGGGCAGGGGCACAGGGGCAGAGGGTCAGGGGCACAGGGGCAGGGGCACAGGGGCAGGGGCACAGGGGCAGGGGCAGAGGGGCAGGGGCAGAGGGGCAGGGGCAGAGGGGCAGGGGCAGAGGGGCAGGGGCACAGGGGCACAGGGGCAGAGGCACAGGGGCAGAGGCACAGGGGCACAGGGGCACAGAGGCACAGGGGCACAGGGGCACAGGGGCAGGGGCACAGGGGCAGGGGTAGCAAGAGGAGGAGGAGGAGGAGGAGGAGGAGGAGGAGGAGGAGGAGAGGAGAATCCAGCAGAAAAAAAGCAACCCCAACACAGAGGAAATGGTGTTCAGCACCAACATAGCACCAGCTCAGCAGGAAGGAGCCACTGTCCATTCACACAGAGAGAGGAGAGGGAGGAAAACACGTGCACATCTGCAGAGACTGTGCCATGTCACAGCTGATCAGACAGCAAACACAGAGCACATCAGCCCAACATCAGCATCACCATCCCCAGCATCCTCACTCCACACCCCTGACTGTACACCCAAACCATGCTAATTTTTTTTCTCTCTCTCTCTGTGTCTGTCTCTCTCTCTCTCTCTCTCTCTCTAACCCAGAGCAAATGGTTTAAAACATTTGCTCAGGCTTTGTAAGATAACCTTACATGTATGTAAGCTAATCCTCCCCACAGTCTCCCTCACTCTCCACACACCCTGACTGTAACCCAACAACTGTTTTTTTTTCTTTCTTTCTCTAACCCAGAGCAAATCGCTTTGTGTCTTTTTTTAAAACATGTCCTGGGCTTGTGAGAGAATTCCCCCCCTCCCCCTCCCCCTCCACACAGTGTACCTATCTGTCACAAGTTTTTTTTAATATCCTGTCTAAGAATTATTGAGCTCACCTGACACCTGAAATGCAACAGGTTGGTATACAGGAAGAGACATGATTAACTGACTTATCATTTCATTGGCTGGCATTACAACATGTGTATGCGTGCAAATAATAATAATAATAATAATCCTTGCATTCGATATAGCGCTTTTCACGTCGGGAGGACGTCCCAAAGCGCTTCACAGAACACACTGTAAAGTGAATTGAGTGCATATTTGTGGGCGAACGCGGCAGCCAATTGCGCACAGCAATGTCCCACAAACAGTCGTAACCGTACGTTTCGCCCGCACGATCTCAGAATCAATTCACTCTACGATATATTCCGTGAAGCTTTTTGAGACGTCTCAATGACATGATAACGCTTTGCCCAGTGGCAGTATCGTAGCCGATGAGGTCTAACCGAGGCGCGATTATTGCTTATTGAGAACTTTGTGGAGTCCTGTAGCTCAGTGGTCAGAGCACTCGCTTTGCAAGCGAGAGACCTGAGTTCAATTCCAGGCAGAGGGCGAAACCTTGGGCAAGTTTCCTTACTCCACACAGAGCCTAATAATAATCCCTTCAAAACCAAAAACAATAATAAATTGGTCATTTTCAATCTACAACTGTTTGTGGGACATTGCTGTGCGCAATTGGCTGCCGCGTTCGCCCACAAATATACAGTCAATTCACTTTACAGTGTGTTCTGTGAAGCGCTTTGGGTCGTCCTCCCGATGTGAAAAGTGCTATATCAAATGCAAGGATTATTATTGTTATTATTTTTTACTGTTGCACGGGCAAACTGATTTGCTTTGCTTTGCTGAAAAAAATTGCTGTTTCAGGCCCAAAAAAATGTTCTTTGTAGCGATGGATCACACCTTTACAATAGTGATGTCAACTGATGTTTTTTAAAGGCACAACACCTCTCAGATGCTGCAGCAATTATAAAAAAATGTTTACCAAATACGTGGCTACTTTTTTGGTGGTGAAATGCCGTTTAATAAATAAGTACTAACTGCACTTGATATTGCTCCTTAGGCTCGCACTCCAGTGAAGTGCTGGGGGAGTCCTGCATTGTTGGAGGTGCCGTCCTCCGGATGGGACGTTAAACTGATGCCCTGTCTGCCTGATCATGTGGATGTTAGAGATCCTGTGACATGATTCAAAAAGAGAACGGCATTTCTCTGGGTGTCTGGACCAAAAATCCCCAGTTTAAAGAAAATGGTTATTCACTTAATGGTTGCTTGTGTGCAAATTGGCAGCTGCATTTGCCTATAAATAGACAGTCATTATACTTTACAGTATGCGAAGCACTTTTAGATGTTTCAACTACGTGTCCAATGTAAGGATTGTTATTATTTTATGAAAACATTTCAAAGTGCTTCAAACGCAATGAATTATTTTGAAGTGTAATGACTGCCATGTAGGCACATACAGTTGATAATATACACTCACTATATTTCACAGATTGAAACAAGACGAATGACCAAATTATTATTATTTTTGGTGAACTTTGATGAGGAAGGAATATTGGCCAGGACTTCAGGAGAGCTCCATATATGGCTATTTTTATGTGATGTAGCCAAATTTCCATACCATTTCAGAAGTTCCCCCCATTTCATGCCTTTCAAACTTGTGGACAACCTCCTACCTGGCATTGTTTGCTAAAGTCTAAATATATAATGTCCATTGAGTTACCTTTGTGCACAGTATCTATTATTTCCTCAAGATGCTGATAAATACATAGTGCATTATCTCCCTCCTTTAAAGCTAATGGGATCGATAGCTTTATAAATAGAACCGTGGAATATCAAACCAAACGGGTGAAGCTTAAGCTGTATAAACCTCATTTAGAGTATTCTCTCCAGTTTTGGTCACTCCATTATAGGAAGAAAATCAAAGCCATAGAAAGGGTGCACTGGAAGTTTGTTACAACAGCAACAACTTGATTCTATGATTTGTTTTTACTGAGAAAGGTGTTAGAATGTGAAATAACCTTGTGGGTGTGGTGGATAAAGTCACGGTGAATTCCTCTTATAATGGTTTATTTCTGTACGTTCTTCATTATTTCATCCCTTTGGATGCCCTTCCAATACGTTCCCTGCAGCACATACAATTTCAAAGTAGAAATCAAGATTAAAATGTTATAAATAAGATGGTTTAGCTATTCTATCAGTGAACCTCCTGAGAGACAATCCCACTGGACGAATTCCGTGCTTCATAAACACTGATACCATAATTCTCTCTATCTGCTTGCTGTCTTATCTCCAAGCATTTATAGACACGAATCAGCATTTTAACGCATTTGACAAAGCTGATTCGTTACTTTGTACAACTATTGAAATAGGAGCAAAAGGGAAATTAGAAAATGTATACATGTATACGCCCACAAAATCTACAGACAATTCACTCTGCAGTGTATTCTGTGAAGTGCTTTGAGATGTCTCAACAATGTGATAAGGCACTCTATCAAATGCAAGGATTATTACAAGTACCGTATTGTTTGCATGTTTCACAAAATTGCAATTTATAAAATTCACAGATTACCTAAAGCTGCCCTCTGGCAAACTGATGTATGAACCTTATAGAATTGCAACAAATACATTAACACTCTCAAAATAATGGCAAAGAATGGCATTTAAAATTAGATTTATTTATTCATTTATTTTTGGATTAATTTTATTAGTACATGTTATTACTGTTATAATTTTATTAAAAACAATTAATTTTAGGATTAATGTTGTGAATTATTTCTTTACATGGAAGGAAATCTGGACACTGAACCTTTAATAAAGAGTTTGAAGCTGTAATAGAAAGATAGTGGAATTGGTATTCAGGAAGGATGAGATCAACTAGGCAGAAGGGTCTTCTTCTGAGGCTTTTGTGATCAGATGATATACCTAAGGTGCTAAACCTCAGCGGCCAGGTCCTCCTCAAACTAAATAAAGGAAGAAAAACAACTTGTATTTTTATTACATCAGAATGTCTCAAATTAGTTCATAATTTATTGCTGTCAAGTCTAGTGACAGTTTTTGTAGGCAAACACGGCATCCACTTATGTCAACACGATTTCACAAACAGCCATGAGGTGGAGTCCTGTGGTTAGAGGACTCGCCTCACAAGCAAGAGACCTGGGTTTGATTCCCAGCAGGGTGAAACGTTGAGCAAGTTTCCTTACTCCACACGCCTGTTTACCCATCAGTAAGTAGGAACCCGGTTGTTAGTCGATTGGCGGATCATTTTTCCAGGGGGAATAATTCCTTAAAAAAAATTGGTCACTCAATCCACAACTGTTGGTGGGACACTGCCGTACGTAATCGACTGCTGCGTTTCGCCCACAAAAAGTCAATTCACTTTACAATATATTCTGTGAAGCGCTTTGAGACGTCTCGAAGATGTGAAGTAGATGGGCATGTTCACGCTGGAAAAGAGAAGATTGAGAGACGAAATGATTGCTGTCTTTAAGATTCTAAAGGGGCAAGACAACATAGATCATGACAGGCTGATTCAACTTGTCCAGAATAGTAAATCCAGAGGACACGGCCTGTGATTGAAAGGGGGTAAATTCAGAACAAATCTACATAAACGCTATTTCAGTGAGCGAATAGTGAACCTGTGGAACAGGTTCCCTGGGGAGACGGTTGAAGCAGGAAGTGTCGATTCTTTCAAGCACAGATTAGATAGTTAACTTTTAGGAAATAAGATTATGGGATATAGTACACAGGTAGTTTGGGACATATGTGCATGTGACCACCAGAAAGGTGGAAGGCGAACTCGATGGACCTTGGTATTTTTTCGTCTAGCATTTCTTATGTTCTTATGTTATGTTCTTATGATAAGGCACTATATCAAATGCAAGGATTTTTATTATTATTATTAATGATGACTTAATCGAAATTGTTGTTGGCCAGGACACCAGGAAAAGCTCCCTTCTCTTTTGAAATAGTGTTACAGGATCCTGAAAGTTCACCTACAAGAGCAGACATGACCTCAGTAGTAAAACTCATCAATCACTGCATGGCTGTTTGTACATTGTGTGCAAATTGACTGCTCCAAATACAGAGTCGTTACACTTTGCAGTAAATCCCGTGAAGCGTTTGAAACATTTCAGTGACATGATAATGCATTATGTGAAATGCAAGGATTATTATTATTATAGAGTTAAAAAGTTGGTAGTGGTAACAGCAATCTCTCCCTCTCAGTGTTGGTTCACCCAAAATGTAATATTGGTTCTGATTGTTTGCCTACAAATGCAGAGTGACTACATTTTACAGTAAATCATGTGAAGCACTTTGAGACATTTTGACGATGTGAAAAGATTCTATACCAAATAAAAGGATTATTATTGCTGAAATCCAGTTTGATGTCTCACCCAAAAGATGCAAGCAAAATGCTGGGTAACCAGATTTTACTGTTGGAATGTCACAAACTTATCAATCATTTTGATATGATGATAGTCACCTCGAAGAAAAAATACAGACATTGCACTTTACAGTATATTTTGCGAAGTGCATTGGGACATCCTCTTAATGTGAAAGGCACTATACCAAATATAAGGATTATCAATATTATATTATTGGTTCTTTATTCAGTGATCACCTTGGTTTGCACAAATAGTTGAGAAAACTCTGATGTGATAATTATCACCGATATCCCCTTATCCCTCTTGTTGCAATGTCTCACAGAGTTACTGTCACACATCAAATATTGCGCAGTGATCTTCTCCTACGTAACATGCAGTTGTTTCAAGTTCTTACCTCATATTGCAGCAAAGGTAAAGTAACTCAAATTATTCTAACCGCTCGACTGCGACATATATATCTGCAGAGACTCCTGTCTCTATAACATGACCGATTCCGTACACTTGCAGCTCATGTTGAACAAAACATTAATGTTATGTTAATAAAGCTTCTCTAACATTAATGTGCATTTATTACTTGTAATCGTAACACTAACCCACAAAAACTAAGAAGAAATGTAACGTTTGATGTTTAGATCAAAATCAAAAATTTTAAAAACTTGATGTAAAAAGGTCAAACCCTGATTTGAAAGTTGCAGATGAAACACCAAGTGGGGGTTGTTAATTAATAAATTTAGCATTAGCAATCCCCCCAACACACACACACACACAGATTGCAATATTCCTTTGCTGAGAAGGTAATTAATGACTCAAACAGGTTATTGGTAAAGGTGGTTGAGATCAGGAAGCTATATTCGTTTTTTTTAATCTCGATGCTTGATGGGAGGATGGGTATTGTGGAAGGATGAGATCAAATGGACCAAAGGCCCTTCTCTATCCAAACCAATCTGGTGATCTTGTTATCTACCCGCCAATCAAGAAATCAACTTACAGCTCTCAGGAATGCAGTTGCAACATCTCAAAGTTACTAGTAAAAGCTACGGTTCTATAAAGATAATATTCCTCGTATATGAAATGGCACTGATAATGTCAAAATGTTTCTGCAAGCTTCTTTTTTTGTGTGAAGTGTAACAACTGTGTATTTGTAAGCGAATGTGACACAGTAAAGTGCTGCAAAC